CGGGCAAACCAATTGCAAATGCTGTTCATACTCAATAAAATATGCCGGCCAGGACGACTCGGATGCCCTGCATTGCAGCCAAAGAGCAATGTATTACCCGTTACACCACAACTGACAAGTGAATAGCGGTTACCTTAAGCTCCACGGCATGGTAAGCCCTAGAGGGGCAACTGATTGAATTCACGAGCGTTTCTGAGTGATGGAACATGCGAGATGCTACCCTTTGCTGCCTAGCCGGCACGTCCACTTAGACAAAACATCCAGCGGTGACCTTATGTGCGACCTAAACTAATCATCGATTCGGTCCCGTGCCAGACATTCTCGAAGACGACCCATGTCGACTTTAGCCTGTACGTCTCTTGAGAGCACTACACTCAGAGCCTCAAGAAGAAGACGGACATAGCTTCACACTGCCGCCTCAAATGGTTTAGGGGTGAGATGTGCTAGCGAGGGTGGGTCGAACCTCCGGCTTTTATGGAAGAGAGAATATGTTTACCCTGCCAGCAAGTTCATAGGCCAATCAACACCAAAGCGGCGATATGCCGTTTACAAGGAAGGAACATACCGTGCTTAGAAGCATCAAAACTTATATCAACAATGTTTGAGTTAATCCGCACCCTGTTTAGCACTTGAGTGCTGCGATATGCCGACCAGAACGACTCGAACGTCCAGCCTTGCGCTTAGAGAAGCATGTGTTACCCGTTACACCATAGCCGGAAAATTGAATTTCGACGATATGAGATTATCTTGTGGGGCAAAAGCCCGGGCTTCTGAGAGTTTTTGGGTACCGGTAAGTATGGGATGCGACCTTCTGCTGTCTAGCCTATGTGCGCCTATTGAGACAGCATTGGCCGCGGCGGTCCGACGTGCAAAGCGTGAAAATTTGCAATTTCCGACCGGGTTTGTTCTGGAATATGTTTAACAATTCGGTCCTGTGTCTGTTGTTCTTGGAGAGGTTTATAGCAACGTTCGGCCTCCCGTCTTTGGCGGTCAAAGTCCTGAATAAGTCTGCCCACTACACCGACGCTGGCAAACACGACGAGGTAAATTATAAACCAAGTCGGCGGTGTGACATTTACAGGGGAGGAACGAGCTGGTTCTATAAATGTCAAAACTGACATCAACAGCATCTGCGGGTAATCTAACCCCGTTTGGCACCTGAGTGCTGCAAAATGTATGCCGACCAGAGCGACTCGAACGCCCAGCGTTGCCGTACAGGAGCAATGTGTTAACCCGTTACACCACAGCCGACAAAAATAAAATATTGCGCACACTTATATGAGCTAATTTAATTCCCTGTGGGGTGGTGCGAAGGGAGACGTGTAGGCTAGTACCAACCCTGATTCCAACGGCGCTTCGGCAAACCAAATGCTGTTTCATACCTGAGGAAACATGCCGGCCAGGACGACTCGAATGCCCAGCGTTGCAGCTAGAGAGCAATGTGTTACCCGTTACATCACAGCCGACGAAGTGAACAGCGGTTACCTTGAGCTCCTCGGCATGGCGAACCCTAGCGGGGCGACTGACAGGATTCGCGAGTGTTTCTGATTGCTGGAAGATGCAAGATGTTATCCTTTGCTGACTAGCCGGTACGCCCACTTACACGGGACAGCCCACGGTGATCTTGCGTGCGATTTAAATGTTTATCGAGTCGGTCCTGTGTCGGACATTCTCGAAGACGACCCATGTCGACTTTAGCCTGTACGTCTCTTGAGAGCACTGCACTCAGAGCCTCGAAGAGAAGACGAATACGGCATCGTAATACCGCCTCAGATAGTTTAGAAGTGAGATGTGCTCGCGAGGGTGGGTCGAATCTCCGGCTCTCTGTAATAGTGGGATAGGTCTACCCTGCCGGCAAAATTCACGGACCAACCAGCGCCAAAGCGGTGATGTGCCGTTTACAAGGGAAGAATATATCGTTCTTAAAAGCATTAAAACCTATATTCACGATGTTTTGAGTTAAACCGCACACTGTTCGGCAGCTGAGTGCTGCAAAATGCCGACCAGAACGACTCGAACGTCCTATACGAATACCAAGCGTGTGTTACCCGTTATACCATAGCCGACAGTTAAATCACTCTCTTGGTTCAATTTTTGACGACATGAGATTATCTTGTGAGGCAAGAGCTTGGGCTTATGAGCGCTTTTGGGTGCTGCCGGTGGTATCGGATGCGACCTTCTGCTGTATAGCTGCAGATATCTTTGAACCTCTTTATTGGCAAACCGCCCCAATCAATTCAGGTCGGTTGGTTCTTTCCCTACGAACAAAAGCTCTAATGACAGTGCATGCACCGTCTTGATCCTGAATATGATTCTCGAATGTATCTCTGCCAGAAATAGGAATTTCTCTCCCGTTACTGACGTTTTAACCACAGCTCATCGAGCTATTCATGCTTCGAGGCGTTTCTGATTCGACAATTTTCGCATACGGACGGTCAATGGGTCCAGTCTTACGCAATCCCGGTCGTTGGCATCATCGGTAATTGAAACCATCGTTTTATCCCCTGGTTGGATTAAACGTGCTCAGAATCTCCTCGGTTCGAGGCTTATGAGATAAAGATCACATCTTGAGGGAGTCCGCACGACTTTGAGCTCCTGCCGGCGATGGTGCAGCAGGTAATCACATTGCCACATTACGGCAAAGACGTTCGACTCGTCCTCGCCGGCAGATTTTTTAACCCCGTAGCGTTATGTCTGATATGCAAAGCGTGAAAATTTGCAATTTGCGATCGGTTTTGCTCATGAATATGTTAAGCAATTCGGTCCCGTGCGTGTTGTTCTCGGAGGAGTGTCGGATTCCAAGTCGCTCCGAAGGCCAAGGATGCCGAAGCGAGCGCTTGACGCGCGTTCATTATATCTGTTTTGTAATTTATCGTCTCGCGCGTTACGATAAGTTTGTACGAATGAGGTTTGTCCCGTCCATCGCGCTCGACTCTATGTGTGCGTAAAGATTGTTTTCCTCGTCCTTATATTCTTGTTCTCTCGCATGTACTCGCATACCTCAGTCGGTTCCCGGATCACTGGGGTATGCATATTCCCTCTTACTTATGTTGTATTGTGTCCCAACTCTCAAAGGAATAAGTGTACCCACTATACCGACACTGACAAAAATGACGACTAAACTAAACCGGTGGTGTTCCATTCACAAAGGAGGAACGAGCTGGTCATGAAATATCAAAACTGACATCAACAGCGTTTTGGGGTATTATAATACTACTTGGCACTCGAGTGCAATTAATATATATGCCGACCAGAGCGACTCGAACGCCCAGCTTCGCTATAAAGAAGCAATGTGTTACCCGTTACACCACAGCCGACAAAAAGAACATTAACATTGCACAAACCAATAGGCCAACTATTTTGGTTTGTGAGCGTTCCTAAGTGCTAAAAATGTGACATGCTACCTTTACTGCGTCGCTGGGGCACCCACTCAAACCAAATGCCCGGTGGTGATCTTCTGTGCAATATAAAAGTTTTCCCAACCGACCTTCCCGGAAAATAATCATTGCCAACGTTCCCTCTCATGACAATGGCCATGAAGAGTACCCGGTCAAAATACTGAAAAAGCATAGGCCCGCTGCTTCGTACAACCAAAGCTGCAGTTGGCACGAAATGCCGGCCAGGACGGCTCGAACGTCCAGCTTTGTCCCACAACAGGACGATGTGTTTCCCATTACACCATAGCCGACAAGGGATCGTTGATCGAACTGCAGGAGCAACTTTGATTATCCAATTGCACCTCCTGGGCGCCCCCATAGAACCATATACACTTCAGGGGGATAACTCCGGGGCGGACCCCCCAGTTGAAATGCCAATACATCAGACTGCCGGCTTCAATCAGATCTTGCGGCCTAGAAATA